GGTCTCCCCGCGTTGGGCCTATGTCGCGCCGGTGGGCCGCGCGAGTAGGCCACACTGGGGTGCTGAGCGTGCGCGGAAGTGGGCCGCGCCGCTCGCTCGCGGGCCGCGCAAGGAGGAATTCAGTTTTCATTTTCCAGCGAATTATTAAAGATTTATTCAATCTAGTTTCGAGCTGAACTTTGAAAAATGGTAGTAAATATTGTAGGTATCCAAAAATAGTGAAACATAATTTGTTAGGTTTATAAAAATGTCATCTATCTGTTAGTGTAGTTAGTTTACAGTTAGCTGTGATAATGATAGGTTCATAAATTCAAATTAGAGAGCTTAGTATTTGGTAGATTAAAATTTGTAGGATTTTTTGTGGTAAATTGATGATAGCTTTAGCCATGAATTTTTTATAGTATGATCATTAGATTATTAGTTACTCACTGTAATTTTTATAGCCCTAAAATAGGTTGGTAAATAGAGTAGCTAGTACTCCCTGTTTAATCATATATAGAGTAAATCGGTGTTAAGAGTAAGAATACTTATAGTTGCTAAGATAATATATGTCATGCTTCATACTTGTTAGTGGTAACAGTAGGTAGCTCAGCACCTTCATCGGTAGAACTCGTTTAGTAGCTTGCTAGATGTATTTTATTTTAAGAGTTGCTGTTGCCATATTACTAAGTGCTGTATCATCATTTTATGCATATAGATCACGAGTTGGTAGAGTTCGTGTCCGTGGATGAACAGGATTATGAGGAGGTCATTGAGGAGTACGAGAAGGAGATCCTCGTGCAGGAGGGAGCCCCGGAGCCTTTTGGTGCTGACTTTGTTGACCCACCGCCTACCCAAGGTAAGCCCCGGTGCATAACCCACATTTTATGATCACTGAATATATATATGATGTCCATTTATATTACAGGAATTTTATGGAAACTACATGCATAAATATATCTATCTATGAGTCTTACTAGTACATGTCGAGTAGCCGCTATGCTTAGGATTTTGGTAGCATGAGTAACCTATCGTTACTCACAAATAGGTGATAATTATGATCACTCATGATAAATGATGGAAAGAAAAAATGGTGACCGGGCAGGGATATGTTTTGGGTACTGGTGAGTGTAAGAGGTTGTGTCTTGCGGCCAACATGGCATAGCTTGGTTACACTTTCCCCCTGTCCGTGTCGGTTAAGGATCGATCGTTGCAATGGACGCTAGGCAAGTCACAATTTTATTATCCCGAGCACATACTTGGGTATGGGCGCAGGGAAGACTTGTTGCTCTCTTGTCGTGGGTTCCGGCTCTTTCTAGACCGACTGATTAGAGACGGGGATGGTGGAGGTCCTTGCACCGCACTAAGTCCGGGATTTAGAAGCGGGGGCTTGGAGTCCAAGTTTAGATGGGAACCTGGACCCCTTGACTGGAGGGTGATGGGTTGGTCCTGCTTGTGCCTGGAGTACAAGCGGGGCGTGTGTTTTTGGGGTACCCAGCTTGAGACATTGATTCGCGAATCGCCACCGAGTCGGTACGATTTGTCTTAACTCTAGTATCGTAGTAAGAACTGAAGCTAAAAGGTGATAAAGTAGAACTGATTGCTCAACTCTTGCTTGAAAGTAGAACATGTGCTTACATAGAATTGCTAGATAATAAATTAATACGGCTATTAATAATAACATCAATAAGGACTCACTATTAGTATTGCTTTCTGCAAAAAGGAAACCAGCAAACCATAAAGCCTTGCATATCCATTGGAGTCGGGAAACTATTCACACTAGTCGGATAAGTCTTGCGAGTACATTGTGTACTCAGGGTTTATTTACCCCTGTTGCAGGTAATGCTTGAGGAGTACCTTTGTGTGAAGGATTCTTCTGGTGGCACAGACGGATCCTTGTTCCTTATCGCTAGATGTTTATTTTATTCCGCTGTTTAAGATTTCGCACTCTGACTTTTGAAAATGTAATAATGTACTCTTTTATGAACTCTGGATGTATGAAATAGATTAAGTATTGTAACTCGTTCTCATTATTGGATCTTTGGGGGAAAATGTGGATCTTTCGGGTTCTCCCTTGGGGTGTGTCCGACGGATACCGTCTGCTGTAGCTTATTTTCGGGGTGCTTAGTGTCTGATGGAAGACGAGCGCCTCCGTAAGTATGTTATTTCGGACGGTTCTGCCATACATACCCATGTGAAAATATACAACACCATGTGGCTCGTGGAAGTAGTCTGATTCGACCGTAACTTGCTGGCTACGCCTGACAGACGTAGGCTCGCATTACAAGGGCCTGAATGTTAGAGTGTCTAGGGACACCTTGGCACCTCCGACTCCGTGGCCCTGTTCGTTTGTCTTATGAGTCATACTTTTTCAGTGAACGAACAATATTTTTCTCTCACAACAAATCAGCTAACAGTACTTATCAGCCTAGCGAATAGGGTCCATGTCTCCACTGGCACCGCTTGTCCCTAGCCTTTGCCCCTCGTACTCTTCTCCTATGCTAACCTCTTCGGTGAACTAGTAGTGCCCTCCAATGAGCTTGCTCCATTCCAGGTGAGTGGATCTGTGGTCTCATATCAAATCCCCTTTGTTTTGTGGATGCATCACCTGCATTGCTAAATTTTTCTAGCGTAGGGTCTTGATTCATGCATCTGATGATCAAACAATCGTGCCTTCTTTTTCTTTGTTTCTTCTTTTATCCTTAAAAAACTTTTCTCACACTCTTATTTGGGTCTATAAACACTCAAGTTGATCATATGGATACACTATTTTTCCATCAAGTGATTCATTTACGTTCACCACTTGAAAAATTGATTTTTTTTTAGCAACACCACCCTCTTTATTCAAATAGAACTTGAAAAATCATCTTTAAGAGTTCAATGGACTCAAAAGGAATACAGGAAAAGTTTGAGGCCCTTTTCACATGGACTGTGTCTCCGCTTCGTGGGCCGCAGGTCGTCTTTCGGCCCGGTGGGAGCATTCGTTTTTTGGCCCGTGCTGGCGTGCCCTCCCGTCCTCTTCTCGTTCCCCACCGAGCGGCTGTCGATCTTGTTTGCTCCGCCTCGTCGTCCCCTGGACGTCGCCGCCCTAGCGGCTCGCTTCGCCGCATCTGCCGCTTCTCGCGCTCTCCGGCTGCTCCGCTGGTGGTCGGTTGTGCGAGAGCGGCTCCGGCGGGCGGCATAGATCGGCGGTAGGTGTCTCGCTTCCTCTCCGTTCTCTGTCTTCACGGTGCTGCGGCGGTGCGACCTGCGTGTTCGTGTGGAGGGGCCGCCGGCCGCCGCCTTCTCCGATTTGGCTTTTCCGCTTGTGCGAACCGGTTCCAGGTGGGGCACCGTGGTCGGATTTTTGCTGCGCCGCTCGGGCGCTCGCCGCTGTGCTGCGGTTCTATAAACGCAGACCCGCTAACCCATTAGCCTGTTACGAAAAAACCCAATAGCCCGTGAATCTACCCCGATCGGCCAATCCGGATCATACACCCGCGAGCCAACAGCCCCGTCTCTCTCAGCCTCCTCCGGTCCTCCCCCACCACTGTGCGTCTGTGCCTAGGGCTCGTACGGGGTCGACAGGACCGCGGCCTCCGACGTCCCTCCGCCGCCGTAGGTGCCCTCTTCGTGCGGCACGGGCGCTGCCAAGGCGCCCTCCATATCTGGCATGCCTCTGAGCCGCCGCAGCCGCGTCGCCAGAGGGCTCGCCGACGAGGAGGTCTGTCTCTACCCCCTGTCCCCCCTCTGCCTCGAATTACGGCACCCTCATGCCGCTTTTCGCCTATGTGGTTTGTGTTAGCTAGATTGGTAATTTGAGCCTGTTGATGCGTCCAAAGGTGTGCGGAGGATGCATCGATTCCCGTTTTGCGGTACCTAAGACATGATTCAGAACTCCGGTTATTGATAATTGAGCCGATTTCACGGATTTTATTACTAGGGTTTAGCATGGCTTGCTTGTGTTGGTTGCCCCCTGTGATAATTTTGGAGAAGGCCATCATGAAGATAATACGGCTTCCGTGCATGCACATAATTGAGTGGCCTGAATATTGGATCCGCTTGTTTTATGAATGCTGTGAATTCTAGGGTTCCAGGGATGGGAAATTAAGTGTCTCAGGAAGAAATTGTTGTTTTGCTTGTTAGGAACTGGTGAGCTTGCAGGCTAGTATCTATTTATTAAGCTGAAAGGTGGAAAATATGGGATGAATATATGTATATTACATACTTAGCATTCGGATCTCCTTCATTTGTTATTCTGTTGACACTGATGCTTAGATGGTGGGCGAGTCGGAGAGGTTGAAGAGAAATTATCGCTTTGTAATGTTTCACAGATAAATAGACTGAGGTGCTTGCATGGGCTGATTATGTTGTCCAGTTTTGTATATGAATATTACATACTTAGCGTTTGGAACTCCTGCATTTGTTGTTCTGTTGACACCATTGTTTTTAAGGCGATAAGTCGAGCCGCGGCGACTCGCCCATTTGAGTCGACTAGGCGTTTAAGGCGCGCGGCGAGGCGACGCCATATGATCATCTCAATATATAATGCTACTAAAATTCAGAAGCAAATCATACCTTAATATTGTCAAGTCTTAGCATATAATACCATAATAAATAGTGCTACCAGAGTGCTAGTGCACAACGTAAAGTAGCAAAATAGTTCTCATCACTCAATAGCAACAAATTAGTCTCTAATGACATAATATAACTTAATGACTAGTGCTGCTAGGGCAAAACAAATATAAATAGCATAACTGCAGATCTGAAATCTAACGTGAGCATCATCTAAGGATGATCATTTAAGCAGTTTTCCATCTCTACTCTAATTGCAGTGGTAGTTTTCTTGCACATCATTGTATCTCCAAAGCCACCCGCTAGATGCTTCTTCAGCCTTCTTATCCCTCCAAAAAGTGAGACACCACATAGAGTGCAGGCCACTACATCTTTGTTTTGAAGGTTTGGCCAGTAGCCATACTTCCATCCTGGATCCGCAGAATTTCCTTCCGAGCTAAATCAGTCCTGGATCATAATTGCTGATGATGGAAGATGGACTTGCCATTGTGCTATCAGCTGTAAAAACAAAGAACTTGAGCACTTCCAACAAGATCTGTATAACAAAGCCACAAGCAGAGGGAAAGACATGGAAAGAAACAGAGAAGAGGAGGGAAGCAGAGCTGCAGAGGAGATGTGAACTGCAGAGCACATCCAAGTCGAAAGCAGAGGCAAAGGCACATCCAAATCAAGAGCAGGGGCAATGCACATCCAAGAGGAGTGAAGTCGGGAGGGAGAGGAAGAGAAGCTCACACGCACTGCCGCCCCTGTCCCCCGAGTCACGCCGGAGGCTCGGCCGGCGGAGCAGCGCAAGGAGCCGTGAATCCAAGGCACAAATCAGCGGAGAAGAGGAGGAAGACTCGAATCGAGTAGGGGAGGCTCAAATCGAAGCAGGAAGACTCGAATCAAGCTGGGGAGGCACAAATCGATGGAGAAGAAGAGGCGGCGGGCGGCACAAGGCCAAGAACAGTGAATTTGCGGCTTTGGCGCACGGAGAGATGAGATAGGGACTTGCGGGAGCTGTAGGCCCACGCCATGATTTCCCAGCAAGCCAAGAATCTCCCGCTGGTTATGATTCCCACAAGCGCAACTCCCGCAATAGTGATTCCAGCACACAACTCTCCTGCGGCGCGCGATTTCACAGCAGAACTCGCGCGCCAAAGCCGTCGTCCGATTCGCTCGTCGTCAGTCCGCCTCGATCGCTCGAGCTCTAACGTCGCTTAATCGCGCTTAGGCGACGCTTTTTTCTGCAAGGCGGACGCCATACGATGTCTTTGCTGGATGCGAGGCCGACGCCAAATTTAAAATAGCGCCTGATTTCTAGGCGTCGCCTTGGAGACGACTTAAAAACCATGGTTGACACTGATGCTTAGGTGGTGGGTGAGTGGGAGAGGTTGAAGAGAAATTATTGCTATGTAATGTTTCTTAGATAAATAGACTGAGATGCTTGCATGGGCTGATTATGTGGTCTATTTTTATATATAAGATGTGCTTTTGCTCCACAGTTCAGTGAGTTCTGCTTTCCTGTTTTTTTCGGTAGCTACAGTAATGCATTGACAAGTTTACTAAGTTGTGAATTTTAACTATAAGATAAGATAGGTTCTTGCTTGCCTGTACTCTTGTACAATGCACCACATTTTTTTAACCATGATTCTGCCATATCTTTCAGTAGAGAAGTTGGTTTCATTCAGTATTCATTTTTTCTGGCATATATCTCATGACCGTCAGCTAGCTGCTGTGTTTCCTATTTTTTTAGTTCTGTATTTTATCTATGACTTCTACTTTATATCTTTATTATTTACTACTTCTGCGGCAGTTATTTTTTTTCCATGTAGTTGCTTGTTCATTGCTTTACTTTTTTAGTAATTTAATTTAATTTAGAATGTAAACTTATGCTTTATCATTTCCAGGTCCAGGTGGTCTAGTGGACATGTCTTTTAGAAGGCACCAACCTTCCAGTAATGGAGCTTCCATTAGTATAGCTCCTCTGGATTTTCCAAGTCAGGAACTTGAGAAGGTTAATCCTGTGAATTCAGTGATGTCAACTGATTTTGCATCCATGGATGGTGTTGATATTGATATGAGAGAAGTTTACTTTCTCATTATGCATTTTTTATCTCATGGTCCATTCAAACGGACCTTTGGAGAACTGTGCAATGAACTCCTGGAACATCAACTGCTACCTAGAAGATACCATGCTTGGTATTCACGTGGTGGTTTCCATAGTGGTGAAGAAAATGATGATGGCATATCACTCCCTTTGGGTTATGTAAAATTAGCTGAGAGGTACAGAAATGTTACTCTCTTTTCAATTTGCTTCTGTTATTTTCTAATCATGTGGTGGTGAGGAACTCTTTATTGTTGATTCTGCAATTAATTAGGGGGACTGGAGATGATTCCTAGATTTGAATACAATTGAGAAAAGGATCTGTATTTAGGTCATAATTCGATATAAATTCATTTGGTGCCTCTTGTGGAGCTTTCTGCCCACACTTCATCCACAGTTTGTACATGGTACTAATATTTTTCATAGCTTGTCTGGCCAGTCCTACCCGATTAAACCTTTTGATTTTGAAACAATGGTTATCTTGAAAATGTTGAAAATGTAGCACAATGAGTGACCTGTCATATGAAATATGCCTCTTACCTTGGCAGGACTGTTACTTTTTTATGATTTTTATTTCTAAATGATATTTCTAAATGATAAGATAATGCTGAGCATTTTCTCACTTGTTTTATTGTAGGTACCCCCACATTGGTAAAGACCACTTGGTGAAGCTATTAAAGCAACTGATGGCTATTTCCTGTCACCCACACAGCTTAATTGGAAGAGTTTCTCCAAATGCTGCTGATGTCCCAACACTTCTTGGCTTCAACTCCTTTTCGCTTCTTGCATGTATGCGTATCAATGCTGTTCAATGTGTTACTTTTTTTAGTATTATTTCCTGGAGCTATTTGTTAGAGCACTTGTATATTGAACTTTTTCCCAGTTTTGGTAGCTCCAACTACTCTTTGGTTTTCCATGTTATTAATATTGTAATGTCTTTACACATTCTTGAATCCTTCAGCTGACAGGCAAGATAAGGAAACTCCCAGGCTGCCAAGTTATCTTCGTTGGCCGCACATTCAGGCTGATCAAGTTCATGGTCTAAGTTTGAGAGAGATTGGTGGTTTCACTAAGCACTCCCGTGCTCCCTCTGTACGAGCATCGTGTTATGCCATCGCGAAGCCATCTACCCTTGTTGAAAAGATGCAAATCATAAAGAGATTGAGGGGGCATCAAAATGCTGTGTATTGTGGTTCGTTGAACTTTCTTGCTCTCTTAGCTATATATATGTTTAAATAAAACATCTTAAGTGTGTTTGATTGGTGACTGATATTGCCACATATTTTTTAGAAGGTCGCTAGCCTTAGTCTTACCACATTCTTGTGGCAAGAAAAATGACCACCTAACATTAGCTAAAGTTAGTCATGGAACTTGTCCAGGAGGCTAAGCTAAGCCGACTAAGGTTTTGCAGCAACTAATAAACACTGCCTAAGGAAACTGTGGCTGACTAGGCTTAGGCCTGGCAAACTTAGGGTGCAATCCAAATAGGGAGTTCTAAAGATCGGGCCAAACTGCCCCCTATCCAAACAGGCAACATTATGTATCTCTATAGATGTATGTATCAACTGTGTCAAGGCCTATTATACTTGTTAGAGAAGTTCTTGTGGTTGGTTACTATGTGTTATTTCATTCAGTTAACAATTTGTATATGCTGTTCATTATGTTCCACAAGACCTTATCCCCCCCCCTCCTCCACGCATGACAAACTTAGTTTGCTGCCTTGTTTTCCTTGCTTCCTCAAAGCCCAAACCTCTTACCTTATCATCAATACATCTTTTTTATCTTCTGCATGGCTTTCATACTATTTCTGTTTTTGCAGCTACCTTTGACCGCACAGGGCGTTATGTTATTACTGGTTCTGATGACCGCCTTGTTAAAATATGGGCGACGGAAACAGCTTTCTGCCTGGCTAGCTGCCGGGGCCATGAAGTAAGTTTTGCTTGCTGTGGCATATATATATACTCATAATGTTTCATTGATAACTTAATCCCACCTATCCTGTTTCATTTCCAAATCAAGGGTGATATTACTGATCTCGCAGTGAGTTCCAATAATGCTGTGGTAGCATCTTCATCTAATGATTTCATTATTAGAGTGGTAAGTTTAGTAGTATTCATTCTTCCTAAGTAAACTGCCATAACATCCTTTCACAGCCATGACATTATTTCTTCCCTTTACCTTGAATGGCTCCTTATACCAATGAAGTGGCGTATGCCTGATGGAATGCCAGTCTCAGTGCTCAAGGGGCATACAGGGGCAGTTACTGCTATTGCATTTAGTCCAAGGCCAGGTGCTGCTTTCCAGCTGTTGTCGTGAGTGCCTCTTTTCTCTTTCTTGTTTTCCCCTGATTATATTATTTGCGCTACATTGTTGTTCTTATTGCCCTCAGGGCTCTGTGTACAGATCAGCCTTTCTTCGACTTTCTCTAATATAATGATACACAGCTGTCCTGTGTATTCGAGAAAGATAATTTGCTCTGCTTTGTTCTTGTTGCTATATACATGCTAGATGCAACTGTTTTACAAACGAAAATGACCTGCATGAAGTCATGTATTTGATACCAGCCAATGGTATAACAACTGTATTCTATCTGCTGTAGTTTGAGTGTTTGAACGAGGCTGGTACTTATCTGAAAGCTAGATTGCCACTAGTGAAACATGTCATTTTTCTCTTTCCAAGAACTGTTTAGCACACAGTTACCCATATTGGAGGCAATATATACAGCAATGAAATATCTATAGTATAAGTTGATTGCTAAATTTATCTGCGAGTGCTTTGGTTCATGTGATCTTAGATTCTCTATAAGATCTTAGGGCACTTAATCTGTGTGGATTATGCACACCCTCCCTCCCATGATATTACGGATTTTGGAAGTTTTTGAACAATTTAATCCAAATGAGAAATGACGCATGTGGTCTTCGTTAAAGCCAACTCCCATTCTAACATTACATTGAAGACAAATTATTATTGGCTCATGTAACAGTATTTAATGCTAAAGGAGTAAAATAATATTCTTGGAAAGTGAAGAGGGTCTTAATTCTCCCTAAATCCCAAATATTATGCTGTTTTCTGAAATAAAAGAATGTTGTACTGCTTATGTGTTACGTGTTTTTAGTCTAGCTTTGCTTTACACTGATTTTCACTGTCATTTTAAACACTTATTGTTTATGACACATCTAAGGTGCATTGAAATGTGTTTGTTTTTTCTATATGATTTGTGCTACAACATCTGGCTTGCTGTAGTACTTCGCTGCACATAACTGTTTATAGGGTTTTACTTGCCATTGTTAGTTATGTTCCTTCTGAAATTGTCAAATAATATTGTTGGCAGGTCATCAGATGATGGGACGTGCAGGATTTGGGATGCCAGATACTCTCAACAACCTCCACGAGTGTATACACCAAAGCCCCCAGATGTTGCCCCTGGTTAGTTAATTGAAGCATGCATAGTGCATTAGTAATATCTAATTCTGGATAAGCCAATCCATGTGGTGTTGATGCCAGGTAAGAGTGGTGATGCATCTTCCAGCGCTGCTCAAGTTCAGCCAACAAATCACCAGATCTTATGTTGTGCATTTAATGCTAATGGAACAGTGTTTGTCACTGGCAGCTCGGACACTTTTGCAAGGGTGTGTTTTTCTTCTTACCTTCACTTGTCAATTTCTTATCTAATTGTGGAGAATTGCCCTTTTTTCATCAGAAATGTTTCATTTCAGGTCTGGAATGCTTGCAAGAGTTCTTCTGATGAAGATGAACAACTGAATCATGAGATGGACCTATTATGTGGGCATGAAAATGATGTAAACTATGTGCAATTTAGTGGATGTGCAGTGGCATCAAGATCTTTTTCATCTGATTCCAGTCATACCTCCAAGGAAGAAAATAACCTTAAGCTAAGAAATTCTTGGTCAGTATTTTGTTTGCCCTTATGGTTTGTTTTCTCCTTCGAAATGTTCTTATTTATGTCCATTAGGCATTAGCAGCATCAGTTCTTAGTTGTTGATCCAAAGGTGTCCTTTTTTCTTCAGTTTGTTCTTAGTTGTTCAATTCACGAACGTCCAAATGGTGTTGTTTTTGGCTTCAACAATCCTCCGTGAGCTGAGTTGTTTCTTTTTGCTAGGTTCACGCATAATATTGTTACCTGCTCCCGTGATGGCAGTGCAATTATATGGGTTCCACGATCTCGGAGGTCGCATGTAAGCTGCTGTATGCTAGAACTTTACAATTTTGTTTTTTGAAAACTTTGTTTGCATGAATAGTTTTTTATGATGACGTGCATAACTGTCCAATCTAGCTACTGCTATAATGGTATGGTCGCCTCCTGAAATGCAGCCAATCATAATTTATGATTTAAGTATGCGTTGAATTTCTTCATTGTCATGTGTTCATTCAGTAATGATGTACCCAATGCAATGGACAAGTCAGGTTTACTGGCTCATTAGCACCACTGCCATTTTGTGCAACTGTAGATCATGAATGCCTTTATTGTATGCTATACATGTGTTCAAAGCAGTTTCCTGTATAATTTGTTCCTGCATTGATCCAGGGAAAAATTGGACGCTGGACGCGTGCTTACCATCTTAAAGTCCCCCCACCTCCAATGGCGCCTCAACCACCTCGAGGTGGTCCTCGTCAAAGATACCAACCAACTCCTCGCGGTGTCAATATGATAGTTTGGAGTCTAGACAACCGCTTTGTGCTTGCTACAATCATGGGTACTTTTGATCTACTGTTTCATATGGTTTCAGTAATTCACTGCAACCATATCGATCCAACATTTTACTTTAGGCTGCGTTTGGATGTAGATATTGGGGCTCAGGAATTGGAATTGGCATTGGATAGCACCAAATGCCGCTGTTTGGATGGCCTAGACTTTGGAATTGGAAATAAACTTCAATACCAAGGGGTATTCGCTAGTGACTGCGCCCACTCGCCACTCGCCCGCAATACCAAGGCCTGACCCTCCGTATTGGGGGGAATTGGAGCCCGTGCCCCTCTTCTTCTCCCACACCCTTCCTTCACAAGGCCCCAAATCTCACGCCACACACTGACGCCGCCAAGACAAGATGTCAGCGCCAACCCGCCATGGCCACCGTCAAGGAGCCCAAGTTCGCGCCGTTCCCTTGCCATCCCCCTCTCCCCACCCCACCCCACTCGTCGGGGCTCTCCGCCCGCCTCAGGAGTAGGCGAGAAGCCGGAGGAGGGCTACTCTTCGTCAAGTAGCAGAGAGAATGTCATGTCTGCAAGACGACGCTAAAGCAGCGAAAGCTCATGACGACGTCGCCGGAGGCCGAGCGCGCAGTAGCTGTGACACAGAAGGGCAAAGTGAGTGGCTAGGAGGAAAGTTAGCCACCGATTAGTTGTTTCCTTTGTTAGTTATTTCATTGTTAAGATTAGTCCTACAATTAAGGAGAGCCTTCCTCTACTTTGGCCGAGAGCCATATATGCTTGTACGGAAACCAACCGAGGGCAAGCAAGAAGTTATCTCTAATCTACCTCTCTCTCTCTCAGAAGTCGACGGTGAGGGTATAACTCGCCGGCTGCGTGATTTTACGGCGGCTCTGAGCTACGTGGCCGAGGTCCGTCCCGCCACCGTGGGTTCGAGGCCCTTGACAACTGATATCACGGTCTCGTCGATCCTCGCCACCCGCTCCACCCACTCTTCCACCATGAGTTTCACCGGCCGGCCGCCCGCCATCGCCGCCTCTACCGCAGACCATGGCCGAGCCCACCTTTGCCGACGTGCTTTCGCCGAATCGAGGTCCTCAAAGACGGAGGTGTCGTCTCAAGTCCGATATGGCGCTATGAAGGACAAGTCCTCGCCGCCCTCTGGACAACGGAGGGGCCGCCGCCCGACGACGGCAACATGCGACCAAGATCCGCTTCATCAAGCACAAAAGTGGACTTCCCCGCTTTGATGGCACCGCCGATCCGATGTTGTTCATCAACAAATGCGAGTCGTATTTCCGCCACCACCGCACCATGGGAGAGGAACGTGTTCGGATGGCATCTTACCATCTCGACGACGTCGCGGTACCGGGTACAACCAAATTCGAAGAAGATGATGGCGCCCGCCCCGGGCCGATTCAAAGACCTCTGAACGAGGTTCGCCCCTCTCCGCTTCCGCCCGATGTTCGAAGCTTTAGAGTGCCGCAAGACCGAACAGATGGAGTACTCCAACCGCTTCCGAGCACTCCCCGCCGCGTCGTGTCGGCTTGACGAGGCTCAGCGGGTGCAACTCTTCACCGGCGGCCTCCTTCCGCCTCGAAGTCACGCTGCGCGCGCATCCACAATCTCGACACGCTCGCCGCCGCTGATGAGCTCGGCGCGTCAAGTGGAGCTCATGGAGATCGACAGCCACCTCAGCCCCCGGTCCGGCTGGCGGCAGCGGCTCTGCTTGCCGCCGCCGCCGCCGCTAAGTTTTTCCCGCACCGCCCAAAGAATGGCACTTCCGCGCCGCCGGGCGGTGGTGCCACCAGGACGCCATGAGGGCAACCAATGGCGCTTCTCCACTACGGAGCAGTGGAACGTCGCCGCTTTGGCCTCTGCTTTTAATCGTGATGAAAAAGTACTCGTGGCCATAACAGTTTTTTGCAAGCGGATTTTCTTCGTGGGCGGTGTGCGATTGATGACACCGAAGACGTCGCCGACGCCGGGGACAAGGCCGCCCCACGCTTCTCGCCGCAGCGGTGGCAGGCTGTGTCCATGACGGACACCATGCACCAGGTGACACGGGGCCGCCTCGCTCGCCGCCTCCTCGACTCGGCAGCACACCACAATTTCATCTCCGAGGAGGCGCGCATGGCCGAACTTCCTCTCCGCTAACGCCCCCGCCTCGGCCATGGTCGCCAATGGCGACAAGATCACCATGCTGGCTATCATCCGCGACAGCCACCGCTTATCGCCGCGGTCTTTGCGTTCGGCGGATCTCTTCGTCATGCCCCTGGCCGGGTATGACATCGTCCTCGGCACCAAGTGGCTCGGCGCGTTGGGGCCCATTGTCTGGGACCTGGCCAACCGACGCATGTCTTTCCAGCATGGGGGCCGCACCATATCTCTGGCCGGATCGAAGCCAGCCCGCGGCGGCTTAAGGCGGCAGCATGCGCTTTGCCTATGTCGGGCGAGCCGCTCCTGGAGGCCCTCCTCGACGCGTTTGCAGGGGTCTTCGCCACTCCGACTGGCCTGCCCCCCAAGCGCGCCCTTGATCACCGCATCCTGCTGAAGCCCGATGCAGACAACGTGAGCAGACGCCTCTATCGGTGCCGGCTGCCCACAAGGATGAGTTGGAGCGGCAATGTGCCGCCATGATTGAACAAGGGATCGTCCGCCGCAGCGACTCCCCGTTCTCGTCTCCGGTCCTCCTTGTGAAGAAGGCCGACGGTTCCTGGCGCTTCTGCGTCGACTACCGGGCCCTGAACGCCGTGACGGTCAAAGACGCCTTCCCAATCCCGGTGGTGGATGAGTCACTTGATGAACTCAACGGCGCCAAATTCTTCTCTTCTGCTCGACCATGCGGTCGGGTACCACCAGTCCGCATGCGCCCGAGGACATCCACAAGACGGCGTTCCGCACGCATGACGGGCCGTCACGAGTTCCCGGTCATGGCGTTCGGACTCGCAGAACGCACCGCCACGCTTCCAAGCCTTGATGAACGACGTTACGCGGCCGCCTCCTCGCCGCTTCGTCCTCGTATTTTTTGACGATATCTTGATTTACAACAGACATGGGTGGATCACCGCGGCACTGCGTCTTTGTCCTCGACGAGCTCGGCCGCCACCACCTCTTCGTCAAAGCGCACAAATGCTCCTTCGGTGCCTCGCCGTCGCCTATCTCGCCACGTTATCTCCGCCACGGCGCCGCCATGGATCCGGCCAAGGTGCAAAGCCATCCATGATTGGTTTGCCGCCACGCGCTCGCCTGTCTTTGTTAGTGGCTTCCTCGACTCGCGGGGTACTACCGCAAGTTCGTGCATAAACTATGGCACGGTGGCCGCGCCCACAGCGGTGTTGCTCAAGAAGGATTTGCCGCATGATGGGACGACGCAGCGGGCGCATGGCGTTCGTTTTGGCGCTCAGCGGCGGTCACGTCGGCCCGTCCTCGCCATGCCCGACTTTCGCCAAAGTCGTTTCGTCGTCGAGTGTGACGCGTCCACTTGTCGGCTTTAGGCGGTATTAGTCCAAAGTGGGACACCCGGTGGCGATTTCAACCGGCCAGATGGCACCGCCACCATCACAGCGCCCGGCCGCCTACGAAGCGAAAGCTCATTGGCTTCGGTTCAGCGGTCCCGCATTGGAGGCCCTACCGTGAGGCGCGCCGCTCGTCAAGACGGACCACTACAGCCTTGAAATACCTCCTCGACCAACGCCTCGCCACGATTCCGCAGCACCACTGGGTCGGCAAGCTCTTGGGCTTCGACTTCACGGTGGAGTACCGCCCGGCCACGAACATCGCCGCCGACGCCTCTATCTGCCGCGACGACGATGCGGGCGAAGCTTGCGCCATTTCAGCGCCGGTTCGACTTCATCGAGCGCCTCGCCATGCCCAAAGCCATCGCCCAAATACCGTCGGTCGCCGTCCACGACGAACTCCGTGCGGGCACCCGCGCCGCGCCGTGGGCCATCATCGATGGCATGGTCGCCCTGGCGGGCCGCCTCTACATCCCGCCCGCGTCGCCACTCCTTCAGGAGATCCTGGCCGTGGTCCACGACGACGGCCATGAAGGCGTTCATCGCACGCTGCACCGCCTACGGCGTGATTTTCATTTCCCCAACATGCGTCGTTTGGTGCAGGATTTTGTGAAGGCATGCGCCAAGTGCCAGAAGTACAAGACGGACCACCTGAGGCCGGCTGGGCTGCTCCAGCCGCTGCCCATCCTGTCCAGCGTTTGGGCCGACATCGGCATCGATTTCATTGAAGCGCCGCCGGAGTGCGTGGCAAGGCGCATCCTCTCCGCCGTCGACCGCTTCAAAGGCAAATCGCCACTTCATTCTCACCGGGCGCACTTTACACCGCCGAATCCGTCGCCTGCGTTCTTGGCGACATCGTCCGCTTTCATCATGGCGTTCCGCGATCCATCGTCTCGGACCGCGACCGGTGTTCACGTCGGCGTTCGGACCGAAAGCTCATCGCCTCACCGGCACCAAGCTCTTCATGTCGTCGGCCTTTCACCCGCAAAGCGGATGGCGAGACGGAGGCCGCCAACGGGTGATCGTCATGTACCTCCGCCGCTTCACCGGCGACCGTCCTCGGCAATTAGGGCTTCGGCGGCTCCGTGGGCGAATACACCTACAACACGGCCTTCCAATCGTCGCTCCGGAGACGCCGTTCGCGTGGTCTATGGCGCGATCCGCCAACCATCCGCTCTTATGAGCTTCGGCGAGACGCTGCGTGGGCTGCTGTTGCCTAGGAGATGGAGGATCGCGCGGCCTTCGATTGACGTCGCCCGCTACCGCTTCTCGAACAGCCCAGCGGGTCCGAAGCGTTCACGACGAAAGACCACCGTCCGGTGGCTTTCCAAGTTGGTGATCGGGCACTCCTCCGGCCGGCGGCAATACCAATGGCGTCATCGCCACGCGCACCACCACCGGCAAGCTCAAGCCCCGCTTCGTTAAATCGGGCCAGATCGCGCGTCGGGGAGGTCATCAACGCCGTGGTCGTCCGGCCGATCTTCCACCAGGGCCCGCCTCCCATGATGTGTTCCACGTTGGGGTGCTCAAGAGTTAGTTACGTTGTACGCCAAACACCCCCAAGATCGCCACCAATCCACAACGGCGCTATGGTGCGGTGTTCATGCAGCGATCACAATGCACGGCCGGCTAGCTTTCATGAGTACTGGCGGTGTTGGTCCAGTGGCAAGATGAGCCGGTCAGATCGGCAAGCCGGGAGGACTACGACGACTTCCGTGCTTTCGTTCCCTCGATTTTCACCGAGGACGAGCCGGGTCTTCGACAATGGGAGAGATGTCATGTCTTGACGCATACGCCGCCAGCGCAAGCGAAGCCATGACGACGGGCGCCGGAGGCCGAGAGCGCCAGCACCAGACGCAGCAGGAAGGGCAAAGTAGTGGCTAGGAGGAAAGTTAGCCACCGATTAGTTGTTTCCTTTGTTAGTTATTTCATTGTTAAGATTAGTCCTACAATTAAGGAGAGCCTTCTCCTTCATTTGGCCGAGAGCCATATATGCTTGTACGGAAACCAACCGAGGGCAAGCAAGAAGTTATCTCTAATCTACCTCTCTTCTTCAGAAGTTTACCCACCGAGGGGTATAACTCGGCATGGCGTGATTTGACGGCGACTCTGAGCCACGTGGCCGAGGTCCCGGCCAGCCGAGGGTTCGAGGCCCTTGACAGAGAACGAGTCGATGATGGCGCGTGGTGGAGGCACTCGGGGATCCCCTTCTTCCTCAAGTCCGGCCACATCTATCTCCTTCCTCAACTCCGGCGACTTCCTCAACTGTGGTGGCGCAGGCCAAGGCCGGTGTCGGGCGCGTCGGCGTGGCGTGAGGCCAGCCTAGCAGCCAAAGAAAGCGAAGCGACAAATCCACCTGGCGGCAAAGAAGCGCAGGCATCGGCGGCGCAACGCACAGGCCGGCTCGAGCCTCTGGGCTCAGGCGGGCACCAAGCATGCATTGTAGGCCACCAGTCGTGGAGTTGCGTACCCGCGTAGCCGGACATTACCCAGAGTCACGGTTGGGAAGACGAGAGTCAATTGAATTCCATGAGATGTACATCTAAACAGTTATTCGGTATTGGCCCATCCCTAGATTCCAAATAGTAATTCCATTTACATCCAAACATCTGATTTGGTATTGTAGCCCATTTTCAATGCTAGTCTGATTTGGTATTGATACCCAATTCAATGCCAGCCGTCCAATATCTACATCCAAACGGACCCTTAAAGTAAAATGCACCAGAGGTCTATTAACTTCTTAGGTGGTGTCATCTGGGTCCATCATCTCTCAAACTGCATTTTTTGGTCCCTAAACTTTTTAAGTGGTTCACCAGAGGTCCATACCCTTTTGTTTGGTCCTTAGATCCGACGTGCGGGTCATGTGAGGACCGAGCTCCAATGAGGCTAGGGCTGGTGCTAGCCATTTATCTACTCAAAAAGGGTGACGGAAGATAGATCGCCCGAGCTCGGCTGTAGGCAACAGCTGCAGCAATGGCATGTAAACCTGCCCAGACGTGCTCGCCGGCTCGTGCTCAACAGTCATGCACTCGATGGCTCGTGCTCGTTGGCTCCGCACCTTGGCCACGCTCGCACGCCGACTCCATGCCCCTGCCTATGCTTGTCGACTCCACGTCCGCGCCGCTATGGGGCAGGAGGTTCAAGCCCAAGCTGTCTCCCGCCTAGTAGGAAGCCCACCGCACTCGAAGCAGCCGTGCAGCCAGTCACTATCGGATGCCCACAACCACAATTTGCCATCGCTGGAGCAAGAGGCCTACGATGGAGTCGTCGTCTATCTGGCTGCCACGCAGCATGGTTCACGCTGGATTCGCTTGATTTCTGTTGCTGCGCACGCTCACACTGCACGCCGGCTCTGTTACCTGGTGCCTTGTGTGCCCACGTCGCACGCCAGCTCCGCGCTTCGGTGCGCTCGCTCACTGTCCAATTGTGCCAGCGTTGCCTACTGGCCGTTGCCTACAGCCGAGCTATCTTCCGTCACCCTTTTTGTGTAGATAAATGGCTAGCGCCAGCCCTAGCATCATTGGCGCATGGAAGACACAAAACACAAGGGAGCTCAGTCCTCACATAACCCGCACATGGTATCTCTGTCACGCTGACTGCTAACTCCACGTCGGATCCAAAGGCCAAACGAAGGGGTATGGACCTCCGGTGAACCACTTAAAAAGTTTAGAGACTCAAAAATGCAGTTTGAAAGATGATGGACCTAGACGGCAGCCCCTTAAAAATTAATGGATCTCTGGTGCATTTTACTCTTTTACTTAAGTTTTTCACTAATATTTGTTTATATTCCCATTTGAATTGTTTAATTGTCCTCTTGGATTTAGAAGTTTTTTGTCTCTTCGATTCGATGTAATTATTTCATAGTTGCTTAATTAAGTATAAGTATGAAGGACCAATCTATTTTTTTTTAATTTTGCTCTCATTATGACCAAACAAGAGTGGATTGGATGATCGCTCTGATCATCAACCATTTTCCCAGCAATAAACGATGCTGCCCATCCTCACCTGCCCGCTTCGTTTTGAATGCCAAGGACATTATTTAGTAATTGCTTTAGCTATACTACAATTTTGATGCATGGAATCATGGTTACAGATAACCTGCATCTCTTCGATTTGTTTCGTTGATTGAAATTGTTATATTACCAAACATATTCAAAGCATCCACCTACGCATGGTTTGAGTTTCAGCTAGAAGCAATAGTCATTTTCTCATTCTTATTATTACAATATAGCTCAATTATTAGTGCTGTTATTTCTAATCATCTTCCTTATTTCTATATTCTGCAGATTGCAGAATTTGTGTATGGAATGCTTCTGATGGGAGTTTGGTGCATTCACTGATTGGCCATAAGGAATCAGTAAGCATATTTCATGCAATCTATGCTTTATGTTTTCATTTTGTGAATGATATGTTGTGTTTTGCCATTCATATGCTATTTCCTTTCCCTTTTTGAAGGAATTTTTTTTTGACTGCAAAAGACTGTGGGGGAGATCCCCACAGTGATAGATTTTGTATTAATAAAAGGTAGAACGTACTTACAAACAGGGATTAACTAAAAGCATCCAGCCAAACACAAAAGGATGACCGCAGGTCATGAAACGAACAGACTGCAAGAAACATTGATTTTTAAAGTTTGCCGACCAGGCCGATGGAATTGGATCACGCCTCTGAAAAACCTTGTCATTGCGCATCTTCCACAACTCCCATGCTGCTATCAAGGCTGCCTCCATGAAGAAAGGAACATTGTGAACCTGTCCCACCTGTACCAATATATCCGAAAGTTGCAGCGTGTCATTCCAATCAAAATGGATGATTGCCCAACATTCCTTCGCGAAGGGGCGGTTGAAGAATAAGTGATCAATGGTCTCCTCTTCACCACGGTTGCACATGACACAGATGTTATCATCCTGTATGTTCAGATGTCGTCTCTGGAGCATAGACTTGGTATTCAAACGGTCCACAAGGACAAGCCACGCAAAGAATTTCACGCGTGGAGTGCATCTAGATTTCCAGATGGCTTTGAAGATTGGATGTGCTTCCATGGTACTGAAGACATGAGAGTAGAAACGCCGTGAAGTATACACATTGCCCCAGGTGGGCAGCCAGCAATCCTTGGCATCAGCATCGTATGGCAGGTTCTGTAGGTGCAGTTGCAGGACTTCATATTCCTCAAAAGCTTGCTGCGAGAGCGGGAGGAAGAAAAGTTCATCAAGGTCTGTTGCTTGCATGACCTCCAGCACTTGCAAAGGATGCTAACCTTGGAAACTCTTGGGATAGAACAGCATCAGACCACATATCATCCCAGAAACAGACTGTCGAACCATCCCCAATCTCACACTTGGCAATGCCTCGGTTTATGATGCTGAGATGAAGAACATCCTTCCACCAGAAGGAGCCAACTTCCCTAGATGCATGGGGTACTTTGGTGGTATAATATTTGCTCCACACAAGGTGCATCCATGGGGTGTCAACTTTGTTATAGAATGTGAAGAGATGTTTAGTAGCGCATCATTTTGCAATCTGAGGTTAAGAACTCCCAGTCCCCCTTTCTCCTTGGGCTGCATAACAACTTCCCATGCAACTAAATTCCCCCCTTTCTTTTGGGCATCATTACCTCTCCAAAGGCATTGCTTTCGTGCTTTGTCGATGTTGTCAATGACCCCTTTTGGTAGCTTGATGGGACACATAGCATATGTGGTGATGGGGGTTATAGCCGAGTTAACCATTTCCGAGCGACCCGAGTAAGAAAGCCATGTGGAGCACGCAGAGAGCCTCCTCTCTATTCTGTCCATCATCGGGGTGAAGTCCTCAATGTGTGGCTTGGTCGTGCCCATGGGCAAACCCAAATACGTGAACGACATAGAACCAATATCACAGCCCAATGTGTTTGCCAGATGGGTCATCTTCTCCTCATTGACGTTGATGGAGTACATATGTGATTTACTGTAGTTAACTTTAAGCCCGGTTGACTCCGAAAAGCTGTGCAACAAAGCCTTAAGAAAGATCAGCTGTCTAGCATCGGCTTGCAACATCATCAGCGTATCGTCAACGTATTGAACTATTGGAAAATCCCCAGTTGGTTGTGGAATTGGAACTCTGAGCAAATTCATAGCAGCAGCTCGGTTGATTAAAATCTACAGAAGTTCAGCTGCTATAACAAAGAGGAGGGGCGACAATGGATCGCCTTGACGGACCCCTCTCTTGCACTTGAAAATTTTTCCTGGGACGCCATTGAGTAGGACAGCAGATGAACCTGAAGAAAAAATGGCTTGAACCCAATCCAACCATCTCTGTGGGAACCCCATGTGAGCCATAACTTGCATAATAGCTGAATGTTCCACTGTATCAAACGCTTTCTCGAAGTCTAATTTTGGGATGATGATCTCTCTGTTCGACTGATGGCACTGGTGAATGTACTCATAACTCCATGCTAAGCAGTCTTGAATCGTGCGAGAGCGAATAAAACCATATTGATTTTGATGAACAACTCTCAAGATGACAGCCTGCAATCTCTCAGCTAGAATCTTGGTGATGACCTTGAGCGAGATGTTCATTAGGGAGATGGGGTGAAAATCATTTACTGTCTCTGGACTGTCCTTTTTAGGAACCAGGGTGATATAAGAAGTGTTGATGCATTCAAGATTAATCTGACCTGAGAGTAAAAATCACCTTTGATAAATTGCCAACACTTTTTTAGGAAACGGACGTTAAAACCATCAGGGCCTGGAGCCTTGTCAGCCAGCATACGCTTCACCACCAAATCCACCTCCTGCAGAATTGGGGCAACAAGAGAATCTAGGTCGTTCACTGGCGTGACAAGGCTAGAGAGGTCAAAAAGCATTGTAGGTGATGACGTGGTGCCCATGCGATTTTTGAAGGAGTTCCAGAGAAGGCCTGCCTTCCCTTCATGGTCGTGGATCCAAATGCCTTGGTCATTCATGATCTGCGCAATGGAATTTCTTCTATAAGAAATAGTAGCCATGCCATGGAAGAATTTTGTACACTCATCACCCAACTTTATTCTATTGACTGTGTAACGATTCCTCCAGAAGAGATTCTTGTATCGCAACCAAATTTGAAGTTGTTTCTTGACAACAGCCCGTAGGTTTGCTTCTGGATTAAAAAGGCCTCTTATATCCTCCAAAGCATCTAGAAAACCAATGACTTGGTTGCAGTTGTTGATGTGCATTCTTAGATTTGATAAATACTTGCTCCAGTCCTTCAGTCTGGCTCTTAGGGCCTTGAATTTGGAAGAGATGGTACGAGCAGCATCACTGTAAGCTGGCGTAGAGGTCCACAAGTCATATACTGTGTCTAGGAAATCTTCTTGCTCTGCCCAGAAATTCTCAAAACGGAATAGATTAGCTCTAGGAATTTTTGTGCTAATCACCACCTTGCAAGGAATATGATCCAAAGTGATCTTTGCTAAAGGAGGACCTCTGTGTTGGGGAAGTCGATGGTCCAGTTGGTGGACGTGAAGAACCAATCAAGTTGCTCAAGCAACGGATCGGATTGCATATTGCTCCAAGTGAATGCCCGACCCTTCAAAGGCAGCTCAACTAAACCAAGATGCCCAATCGCATCATTGAAAATAAAAGTGTCGCAAGATTGCCACCGGGTCTATTTCGTTATTCGAGAGCGGTAGAAATTAAAATCTCCCGTGAAGATCCAATTCTCTGAGTCGATATTGTAAGACATAATCTGCTTTGCTCCCATTTCTCTCTTGGCTGCAGATTAGGAGTTGGAGTGAGTCGGCTCGGCTGTCCACTCCCGATTCTTTATGTGATGAAGCGAAGAGCCATAGTAGAAATGGCTTACTTCACCATGTAGTGTAGAGATGGTCGAGCTAAGCCTTGTACCTTAGTAGTAGGTAGTTGGTGTACTCACCCACAACTATGTACTGGTAGAGATACCAAACACCAGATATATATACTATGCCAAGGCAATGCAACCGTCGATTCGCTTTTGCCACATTCGTAAGCGAGCTTGGGCGAAATTTGGGCTTGTCTTGTGTGTTCTTGAACTCAATCTCTTCTTCTATCTCTAGCCATAATGAGTGAGTGTCTTTGGTAAGCTTATCGCCACTTACTGTGCAGGCGACAAGGACCAACAAGTGGTATCGTGAGTCAGACAAAGCGCCGTCGCCGGACTAACCGCCCGGCGATGACCAGGCGGTTCAGAGATTCGGGCGACAATGAATGGCGCCGCTAGGGCTGCCCACCGGCGCGGACAGAGGTCGCCATGCGCACGGTGCGGGAGGTCAGCGACACTACTTGGCCACAGCTGACTCGCACCAACTATGGCGAGTGGGCGGTGACCATGAAGGTCAAGCTCAGAGCCAGACGGCTCCGGAATGCCATTGACAGGGGCATCGACAACGAAGAAGACTACATGTCAGTGTTGGAGGCGATCCTCGCTGCTGTGCCAGCGGAGTACTGGGAGTCGTTGGGGGCGAAGAAGTCTGCTAAGGAGGCGTGGGAGGCCATTCATGTGATCTTGCGTCGGCTCGATCGCAAAAAGAAGGCGACGCCCAATTTGGCCGAAGCGAGAGTCGCCAACCTCAAGTTCAAGGATGGTGAGTCGGTGGACTTCTCTTTCCGCCTGCGCGATCGCTCATCGCCAAGTCGAGGAGCCACGGTGTCACCATCGACGAAGAAGAGAAGCGGTCTCAAGTACCTCCATTCCGTGTTGGTGAACTTCATCCAAATCGCTCTCTCCATAGAGACGATCTTGCCGACTATCCACCCTCACCATTGAGGATGTGACAGCCCGTCTGCGGCGGGCGGTGGACGAGCGTATGGAGCGAAGCACAACAACGACAGACAAAGGCAAGTCGCTCTCGATGAGGAGTGGATCGCCGGATGAAGGAGAAGTCTGGGGAAGCCTCCTCTAGCTGCGGTGGCGATGGCAAGCGCCGCAGCAAGGCTTCTTTGGAGAAGAAGGTCGACCCCAACGTCTACCGGTGCTGCGGGAAGACAGGCCATTGGGCAAAGGAGTGCCCAAATCGCAAGTAGGAGAAGAAGGTTGAGGCTCATTTGGCGCAGGATGATGATGATGATGAGGCCACTCTCCTGATGGCGACGTTCTGTGCACTGCACGACGTTGATGCCACGACGTTGATGCCAAGGAGAAGGGAGAGGTGATGGCGGTGGAAGGGCACGTCAAGGCTTTGAAGGCTGTCAACCTCGACGAACCGCGCGCCCAAGTCCACCTTGGACGTGTGGGCGACGAGCAGGAGCAGCGGTGGTACCTGGACTCCAGCGCTAGCAACTACATTGTTAGTCGCTGAATTCTTACTCTTGGTAGTAGCAGAATTCTTACTCTCATCGAGAGAGGATGACACTAGGAGTTGGGGCA